GCGAGGAAACCTGCTAAGACTTGTCCCTTGATAGCGGTCCTAGGCTTGAACTTGATGTCGAATTCACTTAGCTCCATTGGCCACTTCAGTAGCCTCCCGGAGGCTTCTGGTTTGTGGAGTACCTGTCTCATTGGTTGGTCTGTCAAGACTTCGATGGTATGGGCTTGAAAATACGGTCTGAGCCTCCGAGCTGCCACTATGAGGGCTAAAACAAGCTTCTTCATCTTAGGGCACCTTTCCTCAGCTCCCTGGAGGGCTTTTCTACAGAAGTAAACCGACTGTCGTGCCCGATCCTAATCTTTTACTAATGTCGCACCGACCGCGAAGTCGGACATGGCTAGGTAGAGGGTGAGGACCTCTCCTTCTCGAGGACTCACCAACACCAGGGTGGAGGCCAAATAAGTCTTGAGGCCTCTTCACATTTTTTGTCCTACCGAAAGGCTACTTTTAAAACCTTGAAGAAAGGTTGGCACTTATCGTTGGAGCGTGATACAAATAGGTTGAGTGCTGCTATCCTCCCGATCAGGTGCTATATTTCTCGTGTGCTGGTGGGTGCTTTCATTTCGAGGACGGGTTTTACCTTCTCCGGGTTAGTCTCGATGCCTCAGCTGTTGACTATAAAACCCAAGAACTTTTCGGTCGATACCCCAAATGCACATTTCACTGGATTCAACTTCATCCTGTACTGTCGCATGATTCCGAACGCCTCCCCGAGGTGTCGGACATGCGCCTCTGCTTTAAGTGACTTCATGAGCATGTCGTCAATATATATCTCCATTGTCGAGCCAAGCTTTCCTCGAAACATCCTGTTGACCAACCTTTAATAGGTGGCTTTGGTGTTCTTTAGTCTGAAAGGCATAACTTGATAGCAGAAGGTCCCTTGCTCAATAATGAACGACGTTTTCTCTTGGTCGTTAGGGTCCATTTTGATCTGGTTATATCTTGAGAAAGCATCCATAAAGCTGAGAAGCTCATGGCCAACCGTGGCGTCGACTATTAAGTCAATTTGGGGCAAAGGGAAGCTGTCCTTAGGGCATGCTCGGTTTAGATCGGTGAAGTCGATGCAGAGCCGCCATTTACCATTTACCTTCTTTACAAGCATGACATTGGCCAGCCAGGTCGGGTAGTCGACCTCCCTGATGGCCTTAGCTTGCAGCAATTTTGCCACCTCCTAATTAATGGTCTTTTGTCATTCTGGCGTGAAGCTTCTTCTCTTCTGTCTCACAGGCTTGCAGTGAGGGTCGACGCTGAGGTAGTGTACGATCACTGTGGGTTCTATTCCTTCCATGTCTTCCTACTTCCATGCGAACGAGTCTACATTCTTTTTTAGAAATGAAATAATCTTCTCTCTGATCACAGGGAGTAGCATAGAGCCCACAAAGACTACGTGTTCCAGATCCTCATCCAATTGCACGGGTTCCAGCTGCTTAGTGGGAGTGGGTTTGGTTTCCAGCTCATTCCTCATATCTAAGTCTTCCAGTTAGACCGATTCCACCTCCTTTTGTTTCATCAATGTCACATAACATTCCTTGGCGAGGCGTTGGTCACCCTGGACCATATCGACCCCATTCTAAGTGGGGAATTTCATCACCAGGTGGTGCGCCGAAGGTACTGCCTTGATTGAGTTGAGAGATGGCCTACCTAACAGGATGTTGTAGGCGGAAAGCGCATTAACGACAAGGAAGCGTGTAGTGGTCGTAACCTGGCAAGGTTGGTCTCCTACTGTCAAGACGAGCTGTATAGCTCTGGTCGGCAGGACCTTTTCTCCCGAGAAACTCAAGAGGTGGGTTCTCATGGGTTCGAGCCTAGATCTTTTGATGCCGAGCTAATCGAAGGCCTTCAGGAAGATGATATCTGTCGAGCTTCCATTGTCCACGAGTACTCAGTGTACGATTTTATTTGCAACCATCGCCTTTATGACCAGGGGGGTCGTCATGCGTGTGTTGGCATCCTTAAAGATCTGCGTCAGAAAAAGTGATCTCCACGTCTCGGCGGGGTACCTTAGCGATGGCTTGGATCTCGAGGAAATCTCATAACCGGGCTCTCCTGGTGTGTGTTATTCGCACTGAGCTTGATTCTCCACCTCCGGCAAAACCTCCCGAGATGACTCAAATTTTGCCAAGGGCTTGTTGATGCTGCTGAGATATCACCAAGGCGGCCCGAGCTTCTCGTCCTTGATCGTTCTAGGCTCTTCCTTCCCTTGCCACATACTGGCGTCGATGGCCACTCTATATTAAGTACTCTATCTCCTTCGTGAGTTGGATGCAGTCATTGGTTTCATGGCCTATGTCCTTGTGGAACTCACAATACTTGGCGGGGTCTCGCCTGCTGGGGTCGGATTTCATCCGAGGTGGCCACCGAATGAACCTTTCGTTCTGGACTTCGTGAAGAACCTGAGCGATGGAAGTTACAAGGGGTGACAGTCGTGCTGGGGCAAACTGCAGTTGTAGGTCTTGTGGGGGCAGACCCAGGCGATCTCAGATGTTGTCTCTCCTCTTCGGAGGGGCTCTCTTCTTCTCCTAAGCGAGCGGTCTTGTTTCGGGGATTGATCATGTTTCCCCTTTTTCCTGGGACTACGGTCTCTTCTCTTCTTGTTTTTTTTAGTCGGCATTGGGCTTCCTTTTAAATGGAGGGCTTCCTCCCCGTTGATGTACTTCTCGACTTTCACCAGTACCTCAGCCATAGTGGCTTGAGGATTCTTCGCTATCGAAAAGAGAAGGTCCTTGGATTGTAGCCCGAGCCCAAACATGAAAGTGGTCAATGCAAACTTGTCATCCACACTTTCCACCTTTAGGCATTCCTGGTTGAAACGCTATACATAGCTTCGGAGGGACTCGTTAGGCCCCTGCTTGACGCTCAGAAGATGGTAGGAAGGCTTTTTGTACGTCCTTGCTCCGATGAAATATGATACAAACTGGATGGATAATTCCCTGAAGGAGGAAATTGATGTAGGTTGCAGACGGTTGAACCAGGCTATTGTCGACCCTTTGAGGGTGATGGCGAATGCCCGACAGCGTATCAAATCAGGATAACCTTGAAGCTCCATCTGGTTTTTGTAAGAGTTCAGGTGGTTGACTGGGTCTTTGGTTCCGTCGAATGCCTCTATCAACGGCGTTCAGAACTTCTGGGGAAGGGGGAAGTGGAGGACCTTGGGAGTGAATGGAGATTCAGTCTGCTGGACCAGGGTATCCATGGTGTCAGGAGTCCTTTCTTTAACCAGTTCTTTCATATTACCCAGCTCTCGTTGGAGCTCACGGAGTTTTTGCTCCAAATGATGGTCCATGACATCTGGCGAGTGATGGGGCCTGTCTTCTTGATAGGTGGGTCTAGCCCTACTGTGGACCTCATCTTCATTGCGTTCACCAGGGTACCTCCTTCGATGATTTTCTCCAGAGTGGCTCCACTCGTGGAGCTTGGTGACTCCATTAGGTGGGGCTTGACGCTCCTGAGGAAAGACGTCCTGATTGGCCTAGGGTGGAGGAGGTTCTTGACGTGTTGGCGGGATCTGAGGAAGCCGATGTATTTGTATCCACTCCATCAATTCCTGGTTCTACCTCATTAGTTGAACTGTTGTTCGGCGATAAGCCTTTAGTTCGTTAGGAAGAGGGAGGTTTGCCTCTGAAGGGCGATCCTCGACGTCTTCTTCTGGGACTGGAAAGTTATCTGGTGGGTTCTGATGGACTTAGGGATTGGCTGGAGCTTTACTCATGTTCCGAGTAAAAACCATCAAATAAACAAAAGATTAGAAAGAAAATGATGAAAAACTGTTCCCACATGACGGCGCCAACTGATGATGTCTCAAAAATTATGGCCCAAGTCCAGTTGTGGACAGGGAGTTGATGAGTTTTATTTAGGTGGTGAGAACTGAGAGATAGCCTAATCAGTGGGGAGAGGCACAAGTGTTAAGTGGTTCACCCCAGCTGGCGGACTGAGGTTACATCCACTGTAATGGAGTCTCTTACTCCTTGAGCTTGTATATTGATTCCTTTATTTGAGGTAAGTAACCTTACAGGTGCTGGGCCATTACAGGAAGTTATATTCTAACTCATACATTCTTCGGTGTTCGAACGACCTGAAAGGGTTCCCATCTGCTCCTCTTCTCTGCTTGCTGATTCTGTGGGGACCTTTCGTTCTTGCCCTGCAAGTAAAGCCCTGCCAGCCGGAGTTACTGTACCCATTGTGCCTGGGTCGTTACGCACCACCACTCCCCGCAGGTAGGTGTGACTGTCATAGGTTTCAGAGATGTTCCCCTTGTCCTTTTGGGACGCGTGGCGTGGTGGAATGTGTCTAAGGTTAAGGTTTGACTTCTCCTTCTCTGGCTATCTTTCGGCTAGGGCCGGACCGCCGGTCTTTTTGAGCTTTGCTTCTTGGTACGAGCTGGCTAGGTATGCTTTCCTTGGGCCAACAAGCGAAGCAAAATGCTTTGGGCTCATTGGGCTCCATGGCCATAGCGGCCCATAGTTAAAATTCTGTCCCCATCAGTGGGAATATCATATATTTCTTTTGTTGATCGATTCACATTCAACTTCACCAATTACCCTTTCTAATTGTCCAAAAATATATGTCATATGCTAAATCTGCACCCACAGGTTTTTTATTCGGTATAAGTGTATAACAATGACATATAGAGCTTGTATTTGTTTTAATTTTTTGCAAGAATCCCTTGAAGGTGAAGAGATTAAAGATGAGAGATGGAGAGAGGAAGAGAAGAATAACTATTATAGGTAAAGAATAATCAAGCATAGTTACTCAATGTTGCTCTCTTCTTTCATGAATTCGTTTAGTTAAAAGTGAAAAGGAGAGAGAAGTAGAGCTATCAATCCATAATTTGGTTTAACCCATAAAAGATATACAGTGAGTGGATATACTATTTATGTAGTTTCTGTATCAGCTTTGGCTAGCCACTTTACCTACCAATCCCATCTTATTTAATCTATTTAAAGTATCTTTTATTTTATTTTTTTTCACCATATTAGCAAATTAAAATACCCTTGTGGTGCATGTTAGCAAGCGATGCTGGTCCCCATCAATTTGCTGTCTGTGGTTCTGGATCATCTGAGTTACTCTTCCTTGTTTTCCAGGAAGGCAAACATCTTAGGTGCAGAAGTAGCTGCTCAGGTTCTGCTACCATCAGATTCTTCTTCTCATCAAGGTAAACATTTTTAATTACTATCACTTAAAAAATATTAGCCACTATCATTTTGTGAAATATTTTGATTCTTTTTGTTTGGTTGTGCACTTGGAATTGCACTATAGTTGTTGGGAGGAGGTGTGATGGAGATAAAGTTGTTCCTTTGAAGAAAATAATACTCAACGATCACCTTGAAAGGAGTGTGTCCGAAGAGGAATGGAGAATGGGAGAAAGATGAAGGCTAAAATGAAGTCAAAAACTAACAAGAAATGTGTTCGACAAAATGGTGATGAACCAGAAGGGAAAGAAAGTGAAGAGGGCATCGAAAAGCCTAATGTAAAGAAGAGCAAGAGAGGTAGTGTGATCATGGAGGGATCGCGGTGCAGCCGTGTTAATGGAAGGAGGTGGAGGTGTTGCCAACAGACCATTGTGGGCTACTCTTTGTGTGAACATCACTTGGGTAAAGGAAGGCTTAGAAGCATGGTCAGTGTTCGAAATCAGGCCATGGCTAGTAATCCTAGTGTACTTCAAAAGGATGAGTCGGAGAAAGCGAATCAGATGGAGAAAAGATTGGTTGCTGATAACGATGAGGACGACGATAATGGTGATGATGATGACGAGGAGAAGCCATTGATGGTGAGAAAGAAGAGGATGAAGCTTAGGATGGTGAAAGCTAGATCTGTAAGCAGCTTACTGAGCCAAACAGACAATGCAGTTGTAGTAGCTGATAATAGCAAAAGGAGCAGCTAATGAAGGCCGAATTTGTGTTATTTCATACTGGAATAAAGGAATATGGTGTTGTGTAGCAACTGCTGCAACTAGAAGTATGTTGCTAGAGATTCTTCAGGAAAAATGTGTGTGCTTGATGAATTACTTTTGCTTCAAAATTGCCATTTTTATTGCTTTTTGTTGTGATTTTTGTGTTTATATCTGAGTAGTGGGTTGGATAAAAAAAAATGGACTAATCTCACTTTGCACACTGAAAAGATGCTTCGATTTTTAATTTACACTGCCAAATATTAAAATTTTTAATTAACACCCTCAATGTTATGAATTGGTAATGATATGGACATAGTCTTATGGCTGATAATCGAGTCGAGCCTATCGAGCTTATCTTTTTAAACAAGCCTAAAGAATTGTTCAAATACGGCTCGTTTAGAAAATAAATCGAGCTCGAAATGAGCCGAACTTGAGTAGCTTGACTATTTTATATATAAATGAATTGACCTTTACGAACTTGAGTTGAGCCTTTTTAGGCTTGTTTTCTAAATAAGTGTAAAAAATTGTTCAAACTCGACAAGTTTAAATCACTAATTGAACTCGAATTGAGTCTTATTCGAATGAATTTTGAGTAGTTTGACTCAATTATCAGTATTATCTTGCCCTACTATCGTTCAATTTTTTCTTATAAATTGAGAGACATAAATTACAACTTCTTCGGGCATGAGATAAAATCTCTCATGATGTACTTCATTTATGAAGTTATGGCCATAATAATTCTATTAAACTATGTTCAACACATTATGTCAATTTTTTGAGGTCCAATAGTATTACTCTAAATTTACAAGTTCTTCTCCACTTCTCCCACAATGTAATCGTCTGACATTTTCATCATAAATTCCTAAATCCTAATATGATTTATTAAATGAAAGAAATGGGATTAAATGATAAGTTCTTTACCCAATTACCCTACTCATATTATGAATCGCCCAGTATTGAGAGAAAGAAAGGTTATAATCTACTTGAGATGAAAGGATATTTTGTACATACAGCCGTCAGACCATATCGAAGAGAAGTCTCCCTTATAACAAGAGTGAAGAATGACTAGACCCGGCCACGAGAAGACAGGTAGAATGGCAGGGCAATGATACCAGAGGTCGGAAGAAAAAGAAGTGAAAGAAAGAACAACAATAGGAAATTAAAGAACATAGCATCATCAACTGGTGTCTTTAAGCTAAACAACAAACTATGGTTGAGCTAGCTATAAATAAACTATGTACATTCATGCATTTTTTAATGTGATACGAAATTCCAAAAAAAAAAAAAAATTATCTTAGTTTTCTGAGTTGTTTGCGCTCAAACACAACCTAGAGTAGACTCAGTTGAGTCTCACCATGTGTATAACAGCTTCCTTTCCCACAAAGACAACTCAATTCAATCCTATCTGTATTCTCTACATTATTGCGCCGCAGCTCGCTCTCTTTCTCTCTTTCTTCAATCTGATAGTATGACTGTATCCACCATAATGAAGTTGTTAGAATTTGCAGTCTCACGTGCGTGGTTCCAACAGTTATATCATGGGAGATGATCAAGTAATGAAATGAAACAACTTGATAATGCAAACCCACAGACTTTTATTTCCTAGAACAATTCTTTGTAGGCTTTGTTTCTCTTCATGATTGTGCTGTGTGTGTGTGAGGGCATGCAAAGTTGTCCACCCTCGGCTGAAACTTGAAGCCTAGTTTTTGACATGAGAAAGATCGAAGAAAATACAAAGATATATGTAGTTCGATACATTAGTTCGATACTAGATGTTCAATAGGTTAAATCTGATATGTTATTCATCCTTATTTTGTTTATAGACTTGGACTATAATACATACAGGATAGAATATACTATATGCTTATTTTTGTTTTATACTTTTTTCTGACTATCTAGATAATGATAGTCTCTTTGCATCCTATCATAACTGTAACACCTCTTCTTACCCTTCAAACTCCTCTAACCCCGTTTTCTTCTTCTACCTGGGGACTATGGTTGATAATCAAACGAGTCCAAACGAGCTTGAGTCAAATTTGTCGAGTTCATTTTTTTATACGAGTTAAAAAAAATTGTTCAAATTCAACTCATTTGAATTTGAACAAGCTCAAAACGAACCGAATTCGAATATTTACACATAAACGAAATAAATAATAAAAATTAATTGAAATTAATCAAATTAAAATAGACAGCATCTAAATCCTTAAAGCCTCCTAGCTAGAGGAATGATAATGAGGGAAGTATTACTATTACATTATTTAAGTAATGCTATTCGCATTTACTTTCTAATTTCTTTACATAATATCTAGTATTATCGTTGGATCAATAATAGACTTTACTATCGAATTATGAAATTCATTATTGATTAAATAACTTTGATAAACTAAATTAATAAATGACTAATCATAATTTATTGATAGAATGACGTATCAAGTGATAAAGTCTCAATGAAAAAGTTTAATAGTTACAGTTAATGGTGTCAAAATATGATACAAACACAATACGAATTTGGAGAGTTCAAATTTTTTTTAAGTCACTCGTTTTATAAACGAGTGGACTTAACCCAACACGATTCATAAAACGAATCGGATATGAATAAAGTTAATTAAAATAAATACATAGCACGACTCGTTTATAAACTAAATATGCACAATTAATACATGACACGAACCCGATATGACACTGTAAAATCCGGGTGAATTTAAATTTTTTATAACAATGGCAAAACGGTAATTTGTCACTACGATACGGGTTGTAAACCTGAAATTTTTTAGATCTCAGATAACGAAATGGACTTCACCGTTGGATTCGTCTCGCAAAATCTAGTTACCCTGTCAAATTTCATCGCATTTTAAGATAGTTGAATTTTTTACGTTTTACGAAGCGGTCGAGTCTCAGGTGACCAAAAAATAGAATTTTTGATAAAATTTTAAAATTTGGAAAATCATTTAAGACAAGTTAAAATAAAAATATTTTAAACTTGAACCGGATTGAAATTTAAATTGTTTCGAGATAAAAACGGACCTAGAAAAAAAAGATTATGTGGCACAATGTGAGCCAAGTAAGTGGAGGGTATAAAAAGGGGGGGAAAATCTGATTTCTTCCCTACTTTCTTCAGTCGGTTAACGTGAGAGGGGAAGAGAGGGAAAAAAAAAGAGCTCTCCACTTCCCTCTATGATCTACAATTCCACGGGCTTCGGATTCACTCGACCCAAGAATTAAAGTTGCTCCTCTTGTCAAGGACTATGCGACCACAGCAAAAAAGACGGATTTTACCAAAGATCAAGGTACGAAATTTTTAAAAATTTAAAATTTGGGTAAGAAGTGGATTCTTGTGACTTTCTACAGTCGTTCTTTATGCTTCAAGAGGTAGGATTCATTCCTACTTAAGTTTATTTTATAACCTAGGGAGTTATATGTAATGAAAAAAATGATAGAGATTCATATCACTTGTCTATGATTGTGAAATTTATGGAATCGGATGATTGGTGAATTGAGTATGTGAATTTGACCTAATTTAAGTAAAATTTTTAGATTGGAATTGGTAGTTTGCAATTACTTGTGTAATTCTATGAAAAATGTGTGTTATGTGGGCATGCTATGTGTTTATTTTCTGTCTTGTGAAATTAAGTGAGTTATTTAGCATATATTATGTGATAACATGCTTGAGAATCATGGTTGGATATAAAATGTTAATATAGGCTCCTTGATGTATTAACATGGTGATAAAGTTGGTAATTGTATGCATGAGATGTAAATTACCATGGGATATGTAGATATGTGTTTAAAGTTGTTCATTTGATACTCTTTACATATGGGCATGGTATTGAAATAGCGATGGGACATTACATTGCATTTGCAAGAAGAAATCACATCCATAGCATGTGTGTGGGTGTGTGCATGATTGATATCAAACACCAAATAGGTGGATGATGGGTGGGCTCAGAAAAGTTGAATTGAATATCCGGCTGAATCACACGGTTGCATGAAAAAGAATTGGGTCGAGGTTAGCAAAAAGGGCTAAAAGATCCCTCGGGTGCAAGGCCCGGTGATGGGATACGCACTCCCTTGGTACAGTCCATGAAGTGTGTGGGTGTACACGAAACCATCGGTGGAAGTTCGTAAATTCCGTGTGGGTTAGGTGACCCTTGGTGTGAGTCCATAAACATCCACCTTTACAAAGACCTTGAGAAATTCTTAAAATGGTCATTGGATGAGTGAGGCCAATGGCGAGGGTTGAAAAACTCAGTCATAGTACTCATGGCATTGCATGGGGGAAAAGAGCTGGTAAGGGTTCGAGTTGAGTTGCATAAGTGGGTGTCATCTCATATCATGACACGGCATGTTAAATCCCAACATAGATTGATTAGTCTTGATTGGAACGATTGTTGTTTATGAAATATTGTATGTGAACATTGCATATGCACTTAAGTTGGGGAGTAGCCTCCGTAGGAAATATTTTACTGGGCATTTGCTCACCCTATACGGGAAAACATTTCAAGTACGGGATACATGCCGATGGAAAGCCCTCACACGGGACCTCAAGGATGAAGAGAGTCGACTTATAGCTTGTATAACACATTTTGTGTAAATATTGAATTTTTGTAACATTATTGTGAAAAACTTAGTTTTGATATAAAATTTCGTGTAAATCAATAAAATGTATGGAATGGGTTGTAATAGACTTGTATGGATCATGTATAATGTAAAAAACATATTTATACATGTTTGAGATGAATTTGGTTAAATTTGGAATGGACTTCAAATGAAAAACTGATGAAACGTAAAAATTCTGGGCAAAACCTACCAGTAGCTAACAGGTAGTACCTCTCCAGCAGGCAAAACCTACCGGTAGTTAACAGGTAGTACCGCCCAGCAGGTAAAACCTACCGGTAGCTAACATGTAGTACTTGTCCAGTTGGAAAAACTTACCGGTAACTAACAGGTAGTACTTTTCCAGTGGAAAAAAGCTACTGGTAGCTTACAAGTAGAACTTCTACCGGTAGGTCTAACAAACACCTACCAGTATCTCTTCCAAAAATTTAAAAATTTAAAATTGTTTGCTAACTTTTTGAGCTTTGTTTTCTTTAGTTCCAATGATACTAATGAACATTAAATGAGGTATAGTGAGGCACATTAGACCTCCGTTGAATTAAATGATTAAAGGAATACGGGTTATACGTGTGGGTTATGATCTCAGTTAAAGGGATACGATTGACATGATGTCAGATCATGCGACAAGCACGAATATTTTTGCGGGTTAACAGGTGGTCAATGATTATAAAAGGACCTCCGATTTTAAGGGTGTAAGCGTGTCACAGACACAGCTCGTTCGACAAGAATTAATAAACGAATCGGGTATGAGTGAAGTATTTTATGACACAAATTTTTTCAGATCTAACATGAATTCGTTTCACCTAATACAATTGACAAGCCTATTTACGGTGACAAAAATACTATTAAACTATGTCATTATCGTATCATTAAATCACCAAATAACGTATTTTTTATATAACGATTAAAAAAAAAAGAGGTCATTTTTTTGTATTTCAATAATATAATTAGATAGAAATGACATTATTCACGATTGAAAAAAAAAAGTAGGGCCCACTCAATGTGGGTCCTTATGCTACTAGATGTTGACGTGGCAAATGCGCTGGTCCAGCACACTAGTCAAGCGGAACAGGTAGAACTATTAAATCCAGGGAATCTCTCCCCCCCCCCCCCCCCCCCCCCCCCCCCCCCC